AGGTATTTTGGGCATTAGTAATTATGTTAAGTGGATATTTTATGAGAATTGATTAATTAGTGTGTGGAAAGAATTTGAGAGGAAAGAAAAGAGAATATGAGTATATGAGAGAAAAAGAGAAAATTGGTAAGAGGGAGAGAAAAACAAAGGAAAGAAAGGAAAGAAAGGAAGAGAAGAGAAAGAGGAGAGAAAGAAGAGGAAAAACCTAGAACTTCAAGAAATCATTACCAAAGCTTTCGATTGATCAGGTAAGGGTGTGAAACTTTATTATTCTATCAATGTGTATAATCATGTATGTTTTTGTTGGATTGTTTTGGATTGTTGGTAGTTTTTCTACACTTTCCATTTTAGGTTGAATTTGGTTTAATCGATAGAAATCATTGTCTAACGGTTAGAATCGTGATTAGATGGCTTAGATTAGTCGGTATATGTTAGACTAAGGCTACTGGATATGAGTTGGAGTTCATCGGGTGATTTTATTGGTGGTTTTGGATTCTGAACAGCGGGGAGAAGTGGAAAATCGCAGACGCTCGCTAGCAGTTCGCTAGGCGAGCAGGTCGCAAATGGTCGCTGGTAGTTCGCTAGGCGAGTGCGCAGCGAACGGTCCCAGACTTGGGACAGAATGGTTTTAATGTCCCTCGTTGGCAGCGAAGGGAGTAGCGAAGATCTCGCTGGAGGTTCGCTGTGGCGAACGGTGTGGCGAACGAGGTCAGTAGCCTCTGTTCTTGCTCGCTAGCAGTTCGCTAGGCGAGGAGGTAGCGAACGCTCGCTAGCAGCTCGCTAGGCGAGCGTGTAGCGAACGTAGCAGGATGGATTTTCCCTGTTGCGGGGTGCTGTCGTGACTTGGGGTTTCGGTTGCGATCGACCCTTCTTTGATTTAGTAGTTTATATGCTGGGTTGTGTTGTGCTGTGGGTAGCCGTATGGCGTGAATCCTAGATTATGAATTGTGGCCGCTTGGGTAATTATGTGCATTGTTTAGCCTGATTAAAAATCTATGATGATTGTATGAATATATGCGATGAACGTGTAGAATGCATGAGTATGTTTGTAAACATGTGTGCATTTTCAAGAGTGTCATGAGTCATGTTTTATGTGAAGCATCATGGTATGCATTCTTGTGTCTATTGATTCCTCGGTGAATCTGTAGAACCCCGTGTGCCCTTGTGGGGTGTGAGCGATGGTTAATTATTGATTCCTCGGTGAATCTGCAGAACCTCGTGTGCCCTTGTGGGGTGTGAGCGATGGTTAATTATTGATCCCTCGGTGGATTTGCAGAACCTCGTATGTTACGATGGTTATTTTGATTCCGCGTAGAATCTGCAGAACCTCGTGTACCCATGTGGAGTGTGAGCGATGGTTATTTGGTTCTTCAATTGAACCTGCTGAAATGTGTCGGTACCGCATTTGCATCTGCATAGGGTCGTGTGTCGGTCTCTATGAGTTGCATGTTGACATCCTGCATGGTGCATGGTGAATGAGCATAATTGTAAATGTTTATATGAATTGCTGATGATTGGCATGATTGGTATGCTTGAAGACACATGTGTGTGTGAATATATGAATATGTATGTTTTGTGTGTTTATGAGCCGATATAAACATTGTTGACGCATATTGTATATGCATGATGTTCTATTTGTAAATAGATAACGTGAATACATTGCGATGTACGGCATGACGAGGTGAGTTGCGGCGAGAATACAAAAGACGTATATTGGATATTATGTATATATATATATATGTTTATATGCGTTGTTTTTATGATATCGTTTCTCACCCTTCTGTGGTTTCTTTTAATGCCCTACGAGGCATTGCAGATTAGATCGCTAGAAGTATTTTTGTGAAGCGTGGCTTCTTCCCTTTTTGGTCGGTCGGCTCTGATATGTAGCACCGGGTAGAATAGGATTTATTTTGATTCTTTTGTGATACATCTGAGTATGTATCTACTGTTGATATGTTTTGTAAAACATGATGAATGATAACTGCATATGTGAATACATGTTTGGTGAATTATGAAATATTTGGATATTTCCGCCTTTGTTCTAAATATTCCTTGTGGGTGTTGTCCCGATGTTGCATATTTGCTGAGCAGGTGTTGTATGTGTTGGAATTTTTATGATAATGTGATATTTCCCTTTTATGCCATGTTGCAAATGTACTCTGATGAAATTTTAAATTTATGCCTAAATGATTAATTGTATTATTTGGGGGCATAGAAAGGGGGTGTTACAATATGCATTTGTGTTATTTGATCCCGTGTAGGATCTGCAGAACCTCGTATGCCCATGTGGGGTGTGAGCGATGGTTATATTTGATCCCGTGTAGGATCTGCAGAGACATCGTGTGCCCATGTGGGGTGTGAGCGATGGTATATATTTGATTCCGCATAGAATCTGCAGAACGATTGTGTGCCCTTGTGGGGTGTGAGCAATCGGATTGTGTGCCCATGTGGGGTGTGAGCAATCCATAAACATTGTGTGCCCGTGTGGGGTGTGAGCAATGGGTGAACATCGTAGGCCCGACGGGGAGTTACTTCAGTAACGAGCGATGGTTCCATTTGGTTCTTCAATTGAACCTGTTGAATTGAGTCGGTACCGCATTTGCATCTGCATAGAGTCGTGAGTCAGTCTCTATGAGTTGCATAATTCATCTTTATATGATGCATTGGTGAAATAAACATGTATGTGAATGTTTATGTAAAATGGTGAAGATATAAACATATTGTGTATGTTGATGTGAACTAACGCGAATTGCGATAATGGCATGAGTGAGTATGCTTGAAGATATGTATATATATGTGGGTTTACATGGATTGATGTAAACATTGGTGAATGCATATTGTATATGCTTGATGTTCTATTTATATATAGATACTTATATGGATACATTGCGATGTATGGAATGATTGAGATGCATGAATAAATATAATTATAAATGTTTGTGTGAAAATGATGTGAATTGTAGAAGTATGATTGATGAGTATGCTTAGTTGTGTGTGTGTATGTGTGTGTATATATATATATATATATATATATATATATATATATATATATATATATATATATATATATATATATATATATATATATATATATATATATATATATATATATATATATATATATATATATATATATATATATATATATATATATATATATATATATATATATATATATATATATATATATATATATATATATATATATATATATATATATATATATATATATATATATATATATATATATATATATATATATATATATATACATGCAGTGTAATGTATGTGATGAATTGTGAATAATGCCTAAGAATATAATAGTACATGTATATAGGTAATGATTGGTAAATATGAGAGTAATATAGATAATAATGTTTATGTGAAAGATTTGTACTCACTGGGGTAGAATGGCAATGTGTCGTTCCTAGTGGAGTAATTACCGGGGTAGAATAACTGAGGTGTTATTCCTGGTAGGGTATAAGTGACGTACCCATAATCCTAAAAAGGGGATTGGTGATATTGGGTGAGTTTTAAGTGAGTCACATGGCATGGTTATGAGTGTTATATGAAATATGCATGTGAGTATGAATTGTTGAATTGTGGGTTGCGATTGAGTAATTGAGAAAGATATTGAATAATGAATTGGTGATTAAACATGATGGCGTATGTTATATGATTCGTGATGAATGAAACATAATGTGTATGTTTGTGAGGATTAATTATAATTGCGAATGTATGCATGATGAAATGCTTGGTTTTATACATATATGCTTTGCGATGTATGTTAATGGGTATGTGAGGTATTGTGGTGAGGAGTATAATATGTGTATTTGATGCTATGGATATATATTATGTGCATGGTTATTGTGTTAATATGCATTGTGGTGAGAAAATGTGAAATGTATGTATTCTGTACTTGCGCATTTATATATGATTATGTGATTTGATTATTATGATAATATTTCTCACCCTTCTGCTGGAATGATGTCCTTTATGACATCGTGTAGGTATCTTGGAGTTGTACTGCTAGTAGTTGCGAGGTCTCTGCTGTTGCAGTTGTTTAGTATTTTAATTATGTTGGGTCGAGTCATGCTCTGGTTATGTAACATTGGGATCGTTTGGGTTTTTGCTTTAGAGATATTTTATGTGTTTTAAGTTGTGTTTTAAATGTATCAAAATATTGTGATGTTGGTCTTAGTGCCCAAGTATTGTTGAATTATGAGATGAACATGAATGCTATGTGAAAAGAATTATGAATATAAATTGAATCCACTGCTACATGCAAAGTGAACTTTGAAAAGCATGATTATTTTATTTGAGTGTTTAAAGCATGACAGGTGGTTTTGATGTTTTGAAATTATGTGTGACGCCCTTTTGTGAAAGCATGTTAATTTACTCTGATTATTTATGTATTTTCATGTGGGGTTAGAAGGGTGTTACACCATCACTTTCGATTCTCGCTTCATTTATGATTTCAAAATAAAACACACATATTCTTCTATTATATTTTAAAACTTAATGGGTGAGAACATAACATTCCTATAAAAATACATTCATACCAAAAACATAAATAAAAATGTTATTTCTGAAAATAATAAACTTAAAAATATTATTCCAATAAATAAAATTTTAAAACTTGAAACAAACACAACTTACATCTTCAATCACTCAACATCTCTTTAGAATATTGTATTCCCAATAGTAATGTTTTCAAAAATATTCAAGCAAAGAGCCATTTTTATGACTAAATATAAAATATTTCTCCAAATTTACAAAAGCTATAATAATACTTAATTCCAACAGAAATACATTAAAATCAAGAGGCTAATAAACTGCAAACAAATATAATAAATACATCAAACATTTCAACTTGCAAGATGAAAACCAAAGTCATACATACATACTACAAGGGATTGATAATTGATACAAAACAAATCCAATCCTCAAAACCCTAAGATAGATGTCCAAAAGCCACATAGTAGAGAGTTAATAATTAATTAAAGATGAAAAGCACTTGGTTGTGATTTTGTCATCCTTGCTTCACCATAAGGCTCATCATTATCCATCCTGCGGTTGTTTCTATAAGCATAATAAGCAACTATGTAAACAATCACAAGGATGATCATAACAATGATGTTGATCACTGAGACTTTCCTCCAACTTTTCTTGAGACTAGCAAGCACACCAGCTTTGCAAGAATCACAGCTATAACAAAGCTCTTGTTGGTCATTGTTCCATTTTGGGCAGTCAGGGTTGTTTGCTATTAGTCCTGTTCCTGGCATCCACACTGTTTCATTTTGATAGATGAAGCCACAATCTGTTGGAGGTTTGCAGCAACCAGACTACACATAAAAATGAAGAAAATTATTGCTCTAATTCTTCGTCACGGTTCAACTATAACAAAATAATTGAAGTCTCTGTTAGACAATTTGTTTTAACCGTGACAAATTTTAGAATCTGTGTGATAATCTGTCTTGCACCTGTTTAAAGACGGTCCGATTCATTTTTGTGTTTGTTTTTATCTATGTTGTCATGTTTCTATGAAACTGCAATTGGTACTTAGAAAAAGGTTATGGTGTTCCATCAAAATCGACCTTTGTTTTGTAGCATGGATAAATTGCCGACATGACCTACCACATGGGGCATAACACGAAAAAGTATATAAAGATAAAACACTGTCAATTCATCTAAAATATGAAGATAAACGTGGCATTATTATGACAAGTCAGGACATTAATCATAAACCTATAGACCATATTTTCAAATCTAACAATCACTCGCTTACATACCGATTTTATGAAGATGAGTTATTCCAAACTCTAATAAAATCTATCTATCAATCACATTTAGTTTTTTATTTCCTTACACCATCATGTCACTATTATAAGTAAAATATGATTTTTTTTAATTCATTCAACAACTAATTTATCTAATTTATATATAAATTATACATCAATTATTCAATAAATTAAAAGAAAAATTACTTATAATAATAATATGAATATGTATCTAACTGATTATTATTACTTTTGTCCCTAAATATTTATTTTTCATGTTTATTTATCATAAAAACAATTGATGAAAAAATAGTACAAACTTTTATACAAACAAAAATACTTGTTTTACTATTTGTCCAATATACCAGAGAGTTACCACAATTAAATACTTTACTAAAATTATCATTTATTACATCTTAAGTATTTTCATAATGAAATTTGTAATTTTGTTCTTTCGGTATATCAATTTTACACAAACTATTTCTATTCTAGTTCTAGAAGAGCAAGAAAGGGAGAGAATATTCTGCATGAATATTAATAAATTGTATCCTATGAAAACATAGAACATTCTTATATGAGTTGGGGAGCTTGTAAAAAGCAGAACATGACAAACTTTTAGGTTAGATATACACATCATGTTCGCCACTGCAAAAAGCATAAAGGTGGGTTTAAACTAATGGAGTCCAAACAATAAACCAAAAGTGTAAAATATAAATGTTAAAATTAAAACCTAAATAAAAACTTCTTGCTTTATAAATCAAATTTATAAAATTAATTAAATCCATCCAAAATCTTAAAATGATATAAGGGTCAATTTAAGATTCTTAGGAATAAATTTATAACAATTGAAACAAGGACATAGTAGTTTTGGACCTAAACACATGTTACACTAAAAAAACATAAAATTTCAAATCAAATTTTAAAAATTTCATACAACCACCGCATCTTTTTTTATACCATCAACTTTTTTCAAATTAAAGTGATTCTACTATATTAAGTAATAGAAATAAATATTTTCAATCATACTTATGTTTAATTATTCAATCAGTGTCCCATATATGGTCCTACCTCAATTCATAATTTTCTCTATGTCCCAACACATTTCCATAATATCTAATATCATCATTCCAATACCATTCATTTTTTTCATATGATGTAAACCATTAACAAATATGTAAAATTCCAAATCATATGATGTAAACCATTAACAAATATGTAAAATTCAAAACTAGACATATCACACATACATATTATGATGCCACCTTTCGCATCCAACAGTAATGCCACCATAATACTCAATTATCAAACAAATCTACATTATTGTTATACCATTTTTTTCCAAAGTCCTTTTTTCTATTTTATTTTATTTTATCCTACATTAACATGGGCTGCAATAAAGTAAACATAGAGAGTGCCACAAGTTTCGGAAAATGATGAGTCAAACCCATCATCCCCACATGCTGCAGCTGCAGGGTTCCATACAGAAAGAAATCTATTGTAGAAGTCAGATCTACCAATTTAATAATACAAAAAATATTTAATACTTTTTCTTTAAATGATATGATTCAAATACAATGAATCTTAAAAAAAATCATAAATATTTAATACAGATGAGCTCGGTTAGTAGCTCAGCAGAATAGAGTGTTTTGTTGTGATAAAAAATAAATAAAATTGGAAAACATACCTGAACAGAAGTAAGTTTTCTCTGGAAGAACATATCACCCGTTTCAGGCTGACCATTATAATTCCTGGCTAATTTACGGCAAACTTTAGAATCCCTTATACAAGAACTAATCTTCCCCCAATAACCATCACTGGCAACACGTTCCTCTAACCACCCAGAATAATCTTCCAGGTAATAATCCAAATAACCTTTATTGGTAAGGCTTCTTCCCGAGCCTTTATCGGTTACGACATAAGCAAAGATTATGAACCCTATAAGAACAGCGATGACGCAAAACATGACTACGAGGTAAAGGCGTAGGAGAAAGGTGTTTCTGTAACACGCGCCGGCGAAACCTGCTAGTGAAACAACCATGATGCTTATGCCGATTATGATTAATGGCCATTGGAGGAATTTGAGGCAGTCGGTGTTGTTTGCTCTGCTGCTGAGCCATATTCCACCGCCGAGGATTGGGATTGAGAGGAGGAAGGTTAGGAAGTTTAGAACACCGATTAAGTGGTTGCTTGTTCTCATTTTCTTCTTTTTTTTTTTTCTTTGGATTCTGATTTTTTTTTTTGTTTGATTTGCTAGAGTTGTTGTTTGTGAGGTGATGAAGAGTTGGTGGTGGTAGTAGTAGTGTGTGTTTTTTGTTTTTATTTTGAATGGTTACTTAATTTAGGGTCTTGGTAAACGCGTAGGGAGTTTTGTGTCTATTCAACTATTAATTGAATTACTGAAATAACCTTGTCATTTTTTTGTTTTTCTGTTTTGAGTTAATGTCACTTCGGGCGGAGTTTGATAGGTTGGTTCAAGATATTAAAAAAATGTTGTAGTACTAATTGTTATAAAAGCTTGTTGTAAGTTAGTTTTGAATAAGCTTAACATAACTTGAGATATAAGTAATGTTTATAGCCTTTAATATCTGTGCATATAAATAAAGCCTCTTTTGTGGTGATCAAATAAGTGATAAAAACACAAATGAACTTTTTTTAATTAATAAGTCTTATTGTCGCAAATTGATAAGTTCCCTTTACAATTTTAATATAGTATCATTTTTTCTCTGTTTTAAAATGACTCTAATTTAAAATGTTTGTATATAGATTAATAAATGTAATGATATCATTATAAGATATTGCATTTTTATTAAATTAGTCTTTTTAATGTATTAGAAATAGTGTACATAATAATAATTAAAATAATAATTAAAGAGTAATGCTAACTTGTGCTCTTAGGACATAAGTTAAGAAACATATTTATAGTAAATTTGTATTGGAAACATTAATACAAAATTAAATTTTATATTTTTATTAAAAGCAGTGCATAATTTCCAAAATTTTATTTCTACTTTTAGTTCTTAACTTGTGCCCTTGGGGCACAAGTTAGCGTTACCCATAATTAAAAGGTAATGCTAACTTGTGTCATTGGAGCATAAATTAAGAGACCTACTTATAATAAATTTGTATTGAAAAAAATAATTTAAAAAATAATTTTATACTTTAATTAAAGTTTATACACAATTTCCAAGATAATATATTTTAATTTAGTTCTTAACTTGTGTCTCAAGGGTACAAGTTATCATTACCCATAATTAAATAACACAATTAAAAAATAACAATTATTACTACATTAAAAAATGATAATAACATTTATTTTAAAACAAAAATTTTCTCGTAAAATGACAATAATTTTAAAATAGATGGAGTCTTATTTCTTCTATTTTATAATAAATGGCTTCTATTCTAGTTTTTTTTTTTCAAATCATGTGATATTATTTTTTTCACTAACTTATCCTTATTTATTATATTTTAAATCATGCAACTACTTCACTACCTATTATTAATAACGTAATTTTAGTAAATGATATTTGTTTTATCTTTCAAATCAACACAATTAATTATTATCTTAACAAATATGAAAATATCAAAGAGGACATATATTGTGAGACGAAAGTAATAATTTTTTTTTAATATATCCTCTAATATTTAATACTATTTCCTCTTTCAACTCATTTAATTTTCTATTTCTTGTGTAATTAATGAAGAGTATTAGTGTAAAATCATATATAATTTATCTTTCTCATGTAAAATTAATTAGGCTTTTAAATTCGTTTGAAACATTCAAAACGTCTTATAATTTAGGACAGATGAAGTTTTTTTTTTTGGTTATAGCCTAAATACAGGGTTCTTGTGAGAGTATTGGTTGATATGGGTTTGAGAAATAGCCTAAATATCGAGTTGTTGTTGAGAGAGAAGATTTTACATTCTTTGTTGATCTGGATTATGATAACTTACTTGACTATTGTAATTTTTGTAATTCCATCGGGCATAGTAAAATTTATTGTAAGAAAGTGAAGTCAGAATCATTGTTAAATGTAGAGACATGTAAAGCTTCTAGAAGATTTAAGATCAACAAGAAGGAGTTTGTGGCAACAAATAATAATAGCAAAGAGAAATTGACTGAGAATAAAGCTTCTAAGCATGTTGAGAGTAGCCCTGAAGTTGTGATACTAGAGAAATCTAATAATCAGAATGAAGGAACTAGTGGTACAAAGGATCGTGTGGATACCAACAATGAAGTGGCAAATTGGAATGAGGCCACTGATCATGACTCTAAAGTTTCAGAGTTTGTGGATGTCACTCAACTCATTAATGATGAGGAGTGTTGTGAATCGGATACCTTAGAACTAAGTATAAACAGTTTCTTAATGATCAAGAAATACACAATAGTTAGGATTAATAAAGAAGAAAACAACAAGGATTGGTTATTAAACTGATATTCTTTTCTTTCTCTTAGAACAAGATTACAAGTATATAAGAATAACAAAACCTCTCTCTCTTGAAATTAGGATTTTATCTTTCTATTTTTCCTTATGACAAGATTGAGAAACTAGTATCCTATTTATAAGAAAAATAACACACTAACCTAATGGGCTTTTTAACAATTATCCATTACAAGCTAACTTAGGGTACAAGCTAACTTAAACAATTGGGCTTACAAGCAAGGCCCAATTCAACATGCTAACAACCCTAGCAATATTGACTAATGCATGTTAGAACAAACTTCGACTACAACACACATTACTCGCGAACATACTTTGACCATACTAGAGTTCGATCCAACATCTCACAAATCTCCACCTTGGATCTAACTCTATAACATCAAGAAACTAGCTTTCTTCATGCAGCTTTATTAACTGCATACAGTGGAAAAACTTGCAACTATGCAACGTCTTGGTGATCATATCAGCAGTATTATGATCTGTCGAAACTTTTAGCACTTGGACTTCTCCATGCTCGATTACCCCTCTGATGAAATGCAGCATCACATCAATGTGCTTGGTTTTCTCATGATAGGCTGAATTCTTCGACATGTGTATTGCACTTTGACTATCACATTTAACAGTGATAACTCAACCTTGAAGTTTTAGCTCCTTTGCAAAACCTTCAAGCCACAATGCTTCCTTCACAGCTTCAGTTAGGGAAATGTACTCCGCTTCAGTGGTTGATAAGGCAACGACCTTCTGAAGTGTTTCTTTCTAACTAATTGTTGTCCCAAACATAGTGAACACATATCCAGAAATAGATTTTCTAGAATCCATACAACCTGCATAATTAGAGTAGACATATCCTTCGATTGATGCTTTACTATCTTTACCCAAGGCTCCACCATAAATTAGGACTCTATTCAGAGACTCATTTATGTACCTTAAAATCCACTTTAATGCTTGCCAGTGAGCCTTTCCAGGATTCGTCATGTACCTGCTTACAAGACTTACTAAATATGCTATGTCGGGTCTAGTACAGACTATAGCATACATCAAAGAACCTACTATGTTAGCATATGGAATTCTATTCATATAAGTTCTTTCAACATCAGTGTTGGGACACTGATCTATACTCAGCTTGAATTGAGGGTTTGTCAGAGTCACAATAGGCTTTAAATTCGACATACCAAACTTTTCGAGAACCTTCTGTAGGTATGCCTCTTGAGATAAGCATAATTTCGACTGCTTTCTATATCTCTGGATGTCAATCCCAAGAATCCTGGATGCATCTCCCAGATCCTTCATGGCAAACTCTTTATTGAGTTCAACTTTCACCCTCATTACCTCTTCGACATTGTTGCTTGCTATTAGAATATCATTGTAATACCTTAATTTTTACCCCTAAGATTTCCCACATCTCATTTTTTGCATCTTCGCATTTCATACCACAAACAAGATCATGCTTTGGTTCCTCTATCCCTTCCGTCTTTAGGTTTATGCCTTGCAGGGATCACCAAGCATCTGTGTGTTTCTTATTTGCTTTTATTTGCTTATGTTTACTAACCTTTAATCAAAATATAAAAAAAAATGTTTGTTTTTTCCCTTTACTAACTTTTTTAGGAAGAATTTGGATCAAGATATCAAATATCAGTCCCTCAGCTCGAGTGAATTTCATCTAAAAAAAGTCAAAGTTGATCTGTAAACAATTCAAAATCATCTGATCAAGATTCTCCCAAATTTGATTGACTTTCATTCAAGAGATTCCAAGGTTCATGTGTTTATTTCCATGCCTTCTTTTACAAGCAAGAGAATCGAGTCAGAGCCAAGACAGCACATCAAAAAGGCATTTTCACCATTTTTGCCCGTGGTAACCGCTTACCCAATTCAGAGTAACTGGTTACTTCGTGTAAAATTTGTGAAAATTAGGCAAATTCAAATTCTGCAGCATTTTTGGCACCAAATTCAAATATTGCAACATGAGAATATTCTAGATCACTTCATTTAAAATCCACTACCTCATCATAATTAATTCCCACCATACACCTTCACTAATCACCCTTTGATCTTGAATTTCCCTCTAAATTCAAATTCCAAGCATAATTTTGATTCCAAACCAAACTCCAATCCACCAAATTTTCCAAGCCTAAATCCTATAAACAGAGGCCTCATTTCCCTCATTTCTCAAGCTTTTGATAGCCAAAATCACCTTGTCAAATTCCTTCTTGACTTTCAATTTTTCTCTAATTACCAAATTCACCAAAGCTCTTTCTCCCTTTGAAAGATTAGTAAGTTCATCCCTAGAATTTACTAATCTTTGAGCTAAACCTTCATCCATTCACTTTTTCATCCTCAATTCTTGTATATCAAAGCTTTGAAGTGGAGTTTGTGGAGTTTGATTTGAAGAATTTTCAGATTTAGAGTGGTAATTTCTTGATCCACCATTGTTGCTCTTCACACATCCTTCGCAATGTGATCCATTATTGATCATTTTGCTTGATCTTTGGATCTTTCATATCATGTTCTATTTGTGATTAATTGTTGTTATTTTACTTGAATTTTCATGCTCATTTTCACCCTTGATCATGAGGGGTTTGTGGAAATGATTGATCAAGTTTTTTCCACTTTTTGGCCTTGTTTTGGTGTTGTTTTTGCTGAATTTTCGCCACTGTCACCCAAGTAACTGGTTACCTTATATAGGGTAATCGGTTACTCACTGTTATTTTTGAATTTTTTATTGTATTTTGGGTCTATTTTGGTTCCCACCTCTTCC